GATCGAAGAGGTGTTAAACCTTTTAAAGGACGGAGGTTTTACACTAAAGAAATGCAAATTTAAGCACAAAAGGATCGACTTTCTCGGTTTCGAAATTTGTACAGACGGGGTGAAGCCTGGAGCTCAAAAGACCAAAGCGGTATCGCGTTTCCCGGTTCCCCTAGATCAAAGAGACGTTAGACGATTTCTAGGACTTGCCAGCTTCTTTCGACGATTTATTACAGATTTTGCAGTTGTAGCGAAGCCCCTCACAAGCCTTCTCAAGAATACTCAGCTTGGTTTTCGGGGGAGTCTCAAAAGGTGTAACAGGAAAATTCTACCATCTCTGGGCTCGATGACGCATAATAAGGACTCACGACTGTGGGATGAATTCCTCCCATATGTTCAGTTGGGTATTAACACCAGTATCCATGACTTTACGAAAAAGACGCCATGCGAGCTGCTATTTGGGCGTAAAGTAACCAACCCATCTCAGGGTATCATGAATGACGTCATATCTGACACTGGAAATGGGCAAATAGACACCAGCCTAGAAGAAGCTAGGGCTAGCGCTAATGCTTTAATAGAAAGGCAAGGCGTAGCCAGCAAAGCTAATTACGATCGTCACCGAAAACCAGCCAAGGAATATAAAGTAGGTGACTTAGTCCGTATCATTAAGGCTAATCCTGCAAATTCAGGATCATTCAGAATCAAAAAAACTGGAACCCAAGTTGCAGGGACCATATAGAATTTTGAAAGTACTACCAAATGACAGGTACCTCGTTGAGGATGCTCCCTTATCTAGGAAAGGTAGAAGGTATGAAGCCGTCATAGCTGTGGACAAAATATACCCATGGGTAAACTTTCAAACGTCGTCGTCCTCGGAAAAGGAGACCGATACGGAATAAGCTTTTAGCCGTTGTTTGATTGAGAACCTCTCCATAGCGACCTATAAGCTTGATATGATTTTATATGTAGGTTAGAGTGAATTAAGCATGATAATATATTTTAATTTAAATATTCCCTTTAGTAACCTTGTTTGATGGTTAGTGATTTAGTGACAGTGATGCGCATTTAGTAAATTCAATTGTTACTTTGTGATCCCCGTCAAAGTTCCAGTGAACTTACAAATGAAATTATCCGTATACTTAGAATAGTTTTCTTGGTACAAGCCGATGAGTCTGTCTTAAAGTGACCATGTTGTGGGCATTAATGGTGTTGTCGCACCGCCCAAGGAGAAGCAACATGCAATTAGTGAATTTAGTGATTTGAACGGCTGGATATGGCTAAAGAAGTTGCCAGATGTAGGTGTGCTCATGAACCTGTATTGTAGCCAAAACGACAAATGTAGTTTCTGCTACAATATAATGATTACCAAATTGTTTCAGTAACTAAAATATTACATATTGTAAAACTAATCGGCAATTACTTGTATAATACAAACTTACGTTATAGTTAGGTGTTGTTTTATAAGCACAACGAGAGGACTCGTTACTGTATTGGATGGTCGAGCTGTTACGTTTTATCCATTAGGTCGTCGTTGACTATTTTAGTACCACTATGGATCCCTCTATGGTATTCGCACCTAACTTCGCGCACTACTATTTAGTTGTTGTATTGACTACTTTAGTACCATTTTGGACCGCCCAATGGTATTCACAGCTAACTTTACACTACCACCTCAACGGAAGTTATAAAAGAGCCGTGGTATGGGCGGAGCAGCTCGGTCTTGATCCGGCTGTATACTAGTGAAGTAACCTTTAGAGAATACTTGTGAATTTATCAGTTTGAATACGCCATCAAATAAAGTGAAGTGACATTAAAATCGGATTTTATTTACACGGCCACACTGCTTTTCTAAGACAAGAATTAAGGAAACGAAAAAGAAAAAAAAGGGTTAAGAAATGTTATAAAATTAAAAAAAAAATATTAAAAAATGTATATTTCTACACAGTGCAATGAACTTAATATTATCAGCAGTTCCAAATTTCAATGATTTTTGCGTCATTTTGATATATTCATAGTTAATATCGCAGTAATCACTGAACTCGAATGGCGATTCTCGCACTCAAATCGGTTCGAACCGATTTGTACGATAATCGTATGAAAAAATATCATACGAGATCGTGTATAGACAAGTCGAAAACCCGTAAGAGCTTTTCTTTAATATTTCCATGTCGAACGAATCTTTTATAAGGAAAACCAGGAATAGCCATAATTATGGGTCTCCGAACCCTGTACCAGATGTAAAACCCGCGTCACCGGACCGCATGGGGAGTTGACCTCTGGATTCTTTCCTTCGCTAGATGTTTCGTCATTTATTTCAATGTACTGTAACAATCTGTATTGTTGCAGGGTTTTTTTTTTCTTCTTTGTACACTTGTAATTTAAAATCTCACCATCAACTGAATGGCTGAGACAAATGCGCCGTAACTTTTGTTCGGCTGTGCCCGACCACGTGTCATAAGCTCCACGGGTGGTCGGCATCTACATATAACTGCGTTACTCCTGTAGAAACTACGCTGTCTTCGCAGCGGGTCTGGTATATAACCTAAAAGTGTATCCGGTAACCTCCAGGTCAGTGACGTATAAGTGACGTGTCCATGTGCCACTCATGTACTTTCAAAAACTCTTAGTGCAGTGTATTAGCTCTAAGTATACTTAAAGTTAACCTTTTATATGTAACTGATAAGCGCAGTAAGCATATCTGTACACTTCTAATGTAAACTCAGGGAAGTAAAATACTAGTTCTTCATACATATGTAACATGTTATGACAGTAAATTTAAAATAAAGCATCTGGTTATTTCTACTTGAAACTTGTTTTCGTTGTGTGTAAGGCGCCCTTCCTTCTCCTCGCTTATAAATTTTACACGCAGCACCAGGTCAACCAGAACTCACGCAAAACTAGTCTCATGCCCACTCAAGCCGACTCGAGCTGACCATTACACCTGAATTAAAAATCGCGTATTTGTTATTTTTTTCAAACAGTCAGCATTAAACATGGAATCGGTTAAGAGTCCGAAACTTTGCTTTGAAAAAATAATAAAAGCCGATTTAGATCCGAAAAAACAGTTTCATGTCCAATGTATAACAATAGTTAAAACTTAAGAATTCGAGTTAATTTCTAAGTTTACTTTCACTAACGGTGAAAGGAAATATTGTGATGAATCCTGAACGTCGAAAAAAGTTCACAATCTCTCTCTCCTCTTCCTACCCGCATCAGCCTAAACCCGTGTCCAGCAGTGTGACGTATAATTGGCGAATGAAGATATTTTAATATTGCGGAGCAACTCCCACAAAAAAAACTAGTAATTTTCGACCAAAATAACACGGAATTAGTGTAAATTTTTTTGCAAAACAACAAGCGTCTTCTATAAATTTCGAAAAACTGCAACCAACTGCAACCCTAGGTGAATTTATGAACTTCCTATAATTGAATATTTCTATTCACACATCTACCATATTTTTTTAAATGAATGTCAAACTACGAAAGATAACGATTACGCGAGGAAACGTTGCTAAAACATTGCAGTCTCACCGCTGAATAACAAACTAGTGGAAGCGTGAAGTAGGCGTCCCCTCGTAGCCATTGTTATGATAATTATGGGATCTCTCATATAACGAATGGTCGGAATAGGGTGTTCCAAATTAGTTGATGAATGTCTACACATACATACAACCCAATTAGCAAATTACTCTTGTTAATCGAAGCTTATAATGCTTTGAATCTTGTAGAAGTGTAAAAACAGCCTTGGTCTATTCTAAAGTGCCAAAACAATGTCAAGAGTAAACATCTTATAAAAGAAATTTAAAGAGTTTACAAGACAATTTTTTATGATCTCAACAAGAACACTTTGACAAGTAGGCTTAAAATAGCACAACATATGACTTAAACTCTAACTAATTTAAATACTAGCAACCCCTAGAGTTTATTGCTCATTCTTCTCAGGGGAATCTGCCTTACGAATGAGCGGTAGAGTTTAACCATTGCATTGTGACGATTTCAAGTGTAATAATGCTTACCTATGAAATAAAGATTATTTTGAATTTGAATTTTGAATTTTGAAAAAACTAATTTGTAATTATCGAATGACAAATTAGTTTTCCCAAACACAGAGGAATTCCTGTGTTTTTTTTATTCAATGACAAGTTTGCGGTTCCATGGATTTAAAAGTACAATAGCAGCCCACCGTGTCTTGAGACTACAAAACAGTGTAGGGGTGCCGGAAATAGTGGTTCTAAGTTCTAATTAAGACTCTGAAGATGTCTCAGAAAAAAACGTAACTCATACCGGCGGTGAAAATATTTTTAAACGCTCTTGTAATGATTATAGTTACAGATAAGATGGTATAGTATTAGATAAATTGAATATGAGCCAGAATATTTGCAGTACCTTTTTACACATGATAAAAAATTTAAATATTGTGCTTCGTTTAAGTGAAAGAAGTACCTATATATCAATATAATGTTTTTTGTCATTTTCAAACCTTTAATCTTTAATTTTGTAGCATTTAAATAGTTTAAAAAAGTAAATAATTAAAAAATACTTTCTAATTCAGGTAATAAAAAAAATCGTAATTTAGTGAGAGCTTCGGCTTGAATTCTTGAGGTGTAAAACAAATTATATGCAATATAAGTTAATATTTAATTGTTATTAATTGATTTACATCACACTAAAAATATATTAAGATATTTTAAAATTGAAAATCTTTAAAATATTTTTTTTATATTTTATATTTTTGAATTAGCTCATCCAAGAAAAGGAAGATCCCTGCTCTTTAGAGCGGCAACCTCTAAGCTCAGGACTGCCACGAAGTTGTCCAACCCCCAATAGGACAACAACCTCAAGAAGAACATAATTCCTTCTCATCATTTTCAGGGGGCCCTTAATAAAAATAGTTCATATTGACGTACAAAAATGACCACCTAAAATATCGTAACGTAATAAAAAACTACATTCTGTATAACGTATACAAAAATCATTTGCAAACAGTATGTTTATATATGTATGGTCGAGTACGGGACGCTTTAGTCGTTCGTTCTATTCTGTGTTATTTTACTTCATTAATCGCCTCACAACTGACGTTTACTACTGCAGATTTCCCTTAAGATGTAAGTCCAAGTATATAAATGGAATAACTTAAATAGTCTTTAAGATAATAATTCTTTTTGTAAAACTGTGTAGATATGTTGATATAACTTTTTATTAAAGTATGTTTTATTTTTCCTAGAATATAATATTCTATTTTCTTGAAGAAAGACAGATAACTTTAGGCCCATTCATTCAGTTCCATTCAGCACCACTAAATCTTTTCAAATCTTTTTAAATTACCGTAATCTTGGTAATGCAACTATTTTTACGAAACGAAATCGCGTATAATTGTTTTTTCAAACAAACCAATATTTTGGGCCCTTTATAGGTTCCATGGTCACGACTGACTGAGACGGTAAAGTCATCAGCCATTTTATGTCAGCAAAGTTATGTCTAATATTAATGCAAACCACCCTACTTTTCATAATAAGAAACCGAAGAACCCAAGGAATAATCAGACAAATTCATTCCAAACAGAAAATTTATCAGAACAACGCGATGAAACCTGTAGGTAAATCGGAGATACACAAAAAGTCTACAAAGACGTATGGAATCCTCAACACAATGTAGAGGTTATTTTTAAAATATTAAACAATCTTGCAGGGCGTGACTTTTTACAAAATATAATAAATTTACCAAAAATAAACTTTTAAGTTTTTGTTATGTACTATCTGAAATATTTCAGATCTGTATTTGGTAGTAAGTTTAAACGTGTAAGCGTCCAACCTGTTTACTTCAACCGATGCTCCTGAGTTTTGCATCGACGTGGTATTTACGCTTGCGATTTCTTTCGTTGCCGCGCAGAGTTATCATTCTTTAAAAACATTTTTTTTGATATTTTTATTTTATTCTAAACTAAAACTTGATGAATTATTAAAAGTCATGGAATAAAAGTTTTTTTATTAACACAAACCACAATAGTTATTAGTTGCAAGGCTGCAAAGTTGTTGTTTAACGCGAGTGCTTGTATTGAAACTTGAACAAGCGAAGCATACAATCCTGAACGTAGCGAGGGTTTCAAAACACGGGGACGCGAAACAACTATGCTGCCTAGCGAAACACATAACTTTTCACCCCAATATAGCGAGGAAAATGGTAGATGAAAGAAAAACAGTTGAACTATAACAAATCTTAGTTTAAAGTTTAGTTTTTCGACACATTACTAATTTAATAAATAAAATTAGTTATCGTTGTCAATTTAATATCAACAATAATAAGAATAAAATATACCAACGAATTTATATTACGTAAGTAATGTACGACAAATAGCGTAGTTGAAAGTCGTCATTTTTTTTTAATGAAAGAAAAAGTTAGGTGCACCACAGTCCATCGTCAAGTTCGAATTTCAAAAACCTTTTCCACTCTAGTGTGGAAAACGCTGAGAATAAAACCTTTCGGAGCTAGTGAGGTGAAAATAGTATTTCACAAACTTAAAATAAGTTTTTTCGAATACCGCTAATTCATCGCTTAGGGCTTTCTTACAATTAAGTAGAATGATCGATTGATGAAATGAATGAGTGTGAGTGGCGTTATGTGTATGTATTCGGATAATTCGAAAATATAAAACTTTTATCCGAATATTGGAATAAAATAGATAAAACGAATATTTAGTCAATCTTTTAAAATCTTCTTGTTATTATAAAAATTATCAGTTGATGCTGTAATAATAAGTAATACCAATTGCCAATTAGTTTAACATATAAAATATTAATGGTATTGTAAACGAAGTGAAAATATTTTTTTTTATATTAGGGTAATCATAAAGGTAAGTAGGTATAGTGTATTTGCATGCGGATTAACAATTTAATCATAAAATAGTGGGGGAAACACGAAAATGGCTGTGACTTAAATTCTACACAGCTCCTCAAAAATTCTATCAAATTTGACATCCCTGTCGTATTTTGATTTCGCATTATAGTTGAAGAAATATTATTTGCATCGATGAATTTTATCTCTTGGAACGGCCTATCCTTTCTATTACAATAGGGTAATGAAACCATTGACACATGATTGACACTTATTTTAATTAAAAATGTACATGGACTTAATGATCTTGGTCCATCGTACGAGTCATAGGTGCGTTAAATGCTTTTCTAAATTCTAATTTTCAATTATTTCTTTTTTCCCATCAGGTCTTTTTTCAACTACTAGATACTTAGTTGCGCATAAAAATAACCAAGTTTGCTATTATTATAGTAAGTGTCAATGAGTAAAGGTACTAGTTATATGCACTATACAGATGCACGTGCGCCACCGAGAAGGCTCACTCTTTTGTTCTATTGTACTCTGAAGATAAAACGAATCGGTGTTAATAATACTTCGCAAGCAATACGTATACAAAACTCGCTGAACGTATTCAAAAATATTTAAAAACTCGCACAACCTTGAATCAAACGTTCCGCGTTCTATCTGGCTAGTGTTGCCCAAAGCAAGACCAAGATGAGACTAACACCAATCTTGGTCTTGGTCTTGCGTCGGTAAACCTGGTATTGGTCTTGGTCTTGGTATTGCAACCTCAGTCCTGATCTTGGTCTCGGTCTTGCTGCAAGAGTCTCGCAAGTCTTGCAAGTCTTGCAATTACCTATTGTTACTTATAACTCGTAAAAATGAAAATATATGGGTGCAGGTATCGTAATCCGCAGGTTTATCTACAATGAGGGTCTGGGGTAAAAATACAGCATAAAAACGAATCTTTTGCTTTATTAATAATTTATTTGAATGAAAATTATATTATTTCGTTCGACCAACTATTTATACAAAGTAACCATCTGGCTGACTCGTCACCTAACCTATTTCTATGTTTTCTAGTAACTAAAGAGGTTTTAGAGAATAATCTCTCAGCAGGCACTGAAGTTACCGGTATTGAAAGAAAATCCCGGGCCATCTTGGATATAATCGGATACTTCGATTCATGCGTCCTCCACCACTGTAGGATGTCTTCCGAACTTGCGGCCCTCGGTTTATTTAGATAATCCTCGAACTCGGTACAGCGGTGTTGTACATATTTTTCTCCACCAAGTTTCGTTGTTAGAAGTTTAAAGTTTATCAAAAGCTTATATATTTTTTGAGTATTTTCCAATCAATTTCTGATATTACAAAATTACTCAAATCAGACACAGAAGTGCATAATATGTTAATGCCAGGTTTTAGTTTTAAACATAATCCAATCATATCATGTGTGGAATTCCATCTTGTTGGACAGTCCAATATGAGACTCAGATTTGTTGGCACACCAGCTGTTTCACAAGCCGACTGGAACTTCCTCTTCAACATCTCACTTCTTTTTATTTTACTACAAATACTGCGTAATTTTGTAATAGCCGTACTTGAGTCAGAAATATTTGGCACATATTCTTCAACTTGCTCTTCTTCGTCTTCACACTGCTGTTCTTGTTCTTGACTGTCAGTTTCAATATTTAACGCTAAGTTATTCAATAAATCTTGTACGCCCAGGTTCAAGATGTGAGCAATGGATCAAAAATGTTGATTATCCGAATCAAAATGTGGCAGTAGTTTTCTAAGTTCATACATGAATTTGGTATTTGCAGTTGCGTTGTCGACTGTGATACCCTGAATTTTATCAGCTAAGGTATATTCCAATAGACATTTGTGGAAAATCCTTGCAATATCCATCCCTGTATGTCCACCACTCGATGGAATAAAATCCAGGACTAGAGATCGATACTTCCATTCATTATCTATATAATGAATAGTGACCCCATAGTAACTCCTACCAGCAATTGACGTCCATCCGTCAATAGTGAATGACATTTTACATGAGTATTTTTGTAGTCTACTCTTAACACGCGTATGCAGTACTTCAAACCGCTCTTGAACCATTCTTCGAACTGTCGATCTCTTAGGAAATACCAAATTTGGGCATATTATTTGAAAATATTTTTGTGTATCTTCGTCATCGAAAAACGAGCAGGGAAGATATTTCTTGGCAATCCAGTCAACTGTAACTGTCATAAAATCACTATGGCTTTCAGATACTGACTGAAAGAAGATAACAAAACGTGTTAATACTTAATATAACATTTTACAAACACTACCTACTTACGAACTTACTAATTACTATGAATTTTTAACTAAATTAAACAAACAAAAAATTGCCTTGACCGGTAATCAAACCCAGAACTTCAATAGGCAAAAAACATGTTGAGGTGACCGCCGAACTTGTCAAAACTTTTCTAACAATCTTATTATGTGCCCTACTAACTTAACTCAATAAATAAGTACGTACCTGAATTTTGGTGACAAGATTATTTTTACAAGTTTCTATTTAAGAAATATTGCCGCCAAATACACAAACAAAAAACAAGACTTAGATTAGTACCTATAAAAATAATTTAAATTCTAATTTAACACACAAATTATCTCGCTTTTTAAAATTGTACCTTAGTAAGTGCATTTCTCAAAAATAATAATTTGGTTAGAAACTAGAGAAAGCTATTTTCTTCCTAAAAGTTGGATATTTACTGAGTTTTAATTTCCTCAAACTTTGTAGGTATAGCCTAGAGAAATCGTTTTAAGAATTCCAATCTAATCGGTTTGTTTACTTCTCATGAAAAAACGATTGACACTAACTATAAGTATGTAAATTATAAAATATATAATTTTAGGTATGCACCTACAATTCGTAAGGACATAACACTCGTTTGACGTAATTGAGAGACCGCAAGACTCTCGCAGACTCGGTCTTGTTCTTGCACAAATCTTGCAAGGTCACTCTTGGTCTTGGTCTTGCTTCAATTAAGTGGTCTTGCAGTCTTGGTCTCGGTCTTGCAAAAGTGCAAGACCAAGACCAAGACTGCAAGACCAAGACTACTTTTGGGCAACACTATATCTGGCAAACAAAGCGTATTTGCAGAACGCGGTTCAGGCCGCGTAAGTCACCTCGGCTAAGGTTACTCAAGGGAAGTTGCTTTACATTCGTTGCACAACTGTATGGATTATAAAACTGTGCACGAAGTACAACTGACCAGCTTGCATGACCCGTAAGGTAGGGTGCGAGATGCGAGTTCGACACGACCGCGACACGAATGCAATCCGAATCGTAGGCGAGCAAGCTAACACTTATTTCGTCATATAATATTACAAAGCTGTTCTGAGTTTGTGAAGGGTATTATATGTATTTTAACATGAAATAATACATGTGTACTGCGACTTGTATCTTTAAAACACCTAATGAAAGTTGTTTTAATACTGTTTACTTATTATTCGAAATAATAAAATTATCCGATTCGTGACGACTGCAAAATCCGAATACCACATTTAAGGGATATTCTAATAAAACGAATGTTTGGATATCCAAATTGCAAGTCCTAGATGTCAGTCGGTGAATGATTGCATGTAAGAGTTTATTGTGAGTTTATAGTGCGTGGTAGAAGGAGGAGGCGGTGCAGTGCATAGGTACTTCGGGTATCATTTTGATTTTAATTTATTATTTATTGTATATTTTACAAATAACCGTAGCTTGATGATGTGAAGTTTAAAAAATTATTTCAGCAAAATGCAACGTCGCCGCGCAAACGACTCAGTGCACTGGTTCATGAACGAGCTAAGCGCGCGCGTTGTTGCGGAATCAGGGATACCCTCCGACCGCTACCATCTCGGGAAACTCATACTGCAAAGCTTCAAAGATGCTCCCGATTTTATCACACAGGTGTGTGATGTTCTTTATTCCTTTACCATCAATGATCATCACACCAGCGTAGGTAAACATCTTAAGCAAACCTGCATATTGTTGAAACTGAAAAAAATTGTTACTAAAATAAGATATCACCTATCTAGTAGCAATATAGCTCATTGAGAAAGAGCTCGTCGAGGGAAGTCCGGCTACCTTAGCTATTTCTACCACTAAGTAGTCTTATGAGCATTACTGAGTTCCAGTTTTGAAGGGTAAGAATACTGATGAAATTACAGGTACCTATCTCAGAGTGACGGGTGCAGTGGCAATTCCCTTCAGGTCTTTGCAATATAAAGCTCTGAGCGGCGTTGCAACTGCTATGGACAGGCGTAACGCTTAACATAAGGGCACAACTTGTTCGTCCCGTCACTTGCTATCATAAAAACAAATTCAATTGACTTCATGCCCTCTTTTTCTTCTTCGGCGACATGCCCGGCTAAGTCACGTCAAAATACGGTAAAATCAGGGTAAAATCTGCAGCGGTTTTTAAAAGTCTGATCTGAAGCAGAGAACAAAAAATTAACTCTGAAGTGATCAGTTGTTATACTTTCTACGTCTAATTTCCATCGACTATAATTTTTTTCATTCATTTATTTTAACTTCCTGCCACACAGCTTTGTCGAATGCTTCGAAGTTGATTTTGCGTTCTTGTAAAGAAGGATGGCGACATCCAGTGTATTTTGTGACCCAGTGTTTTTGACGACGTGCATTATAGAGACCACAGTACTTGTGATTCATTATCAAAGCATCAAAAATCTAATTGAGTACAGCCTGTAGAAGCTGAGGGTTATAAACTTGATATAGGTTATGTTTATAACATTTTCCGGTTTTGTTATGTAGACGTTTGTTCGTAGCAGCAGAAAACAACAAGTTTTCAGTTTGTTCCTAAAAATAATAAAGAACTAGCTGAATATTCTTAAATCTGCCAACCTCTGGCACATTTAATACAACGTTAACATGTAACAATACCTGAAACATAAAATAATACTGGCAAATTCCATGAACGGCACTTCATTGATTTTGGGTCAGCGTTCGCCATCCTTCTTTAGTAAACGTTAGTTGAAAAAGTTTATTTATTTATTAAAAATAATTTCGATTTCTTTCATAAACATTGAAAAAGTCAGTGTAGTAAGTTTTTTTTTAATGATGTTAATTTATAAGTTTATTGAATGTTACGATGTTTTACTACCATGATAGTCAATAATTTTTTTGTGAATTTACTCCACTAGTTTGTTATAATTATTATTAATAACAGATTATTAATAACGAACACTTAGAACACCGGATTGAATGAATTTTCATTCGATCCGGCTGGATTCGAACGCTGTATGGGTGCTGATCCTCAGGAAATTAAGCCACGGAATGAACCACTAGACCTTACGAATTTTTCTATGTACTTCTTGCAACTCTTTTGTTTTTGGTTTTTAAAGACTTTTTGCCGTATCGATATCAGTGTGAGAGTGATGTTAATTTAATTGTTACTTTATATCTGATTCAGATTTATTTGTATACAAAAAATTTACTAATTCAATCCGGAAAATTAGTTTCATTTCCTACAAACTTTACTGTTTTATATTTCTACTTTTTATTCCACTAAATGTGCCGATGTGTGTATATTATATTCATTGCGCTGTGGATTAGGGTGGCATATTCTTGCCCTTCCATCACACATATTCACTATCTAGTTAGCAGGTATTTTCCTAAAGGCAACAAAATTACCATGCAGAAATTATTACGCCCGTACGCACCAACAAATTGTACAACATTCTACTCATGGTGTATAAGGCCTTACATAACTATAAAACCTTACTTCGCGTCCAGCCTCCTTGGATGACTAGACGACTGATTGACCGCATAGTCGACTGCCTACGCTGACAGAAATTCAAAATTACATATACCGACTTTCTTTTGAACAAAAGACGACGCCAGTTTTTAAACATGATTATTAAGAAATAAATTGTTTCTATGTAGATTGACGGAGGCACAGGAGAATCAGAAACTTGTCAATCAGTTCTCCAAAGAAGCATCAAATGCGCAACTGCCTTCAAAAACGTGGGTCTTCAACATGGTGACGTCGTTGTCCTTATGGGGCTTAGTCATATAGACCTAGCTATACCCTTGTATGCCGCGTTATACCTCGGTATTGCTATTGCACCAATAGACAGGACATATACAGTTAGTGAGTATCGTACTAGGTTACTATCCTAGTCATAAATACTAAAAAAAAACTAAACTAAATACAAAACGTATAGTATACGATATAAATTTTTCAAAAAGGCTTTAATATCGTTTGTAAAAAAATTAAATCTGAAATAAAGTGTGTCCCTGCCGCTCGACCCAAACGAAATAAACCGTAATAATACGGGAAAATTTTTAATTCGAGCTAAGGTAGTATCGACTCTTAAGGTATCACAGTATTAAATTGTGAATTTTACTAAGACGTGTTGACCTGCCCAGTCGAGTGACAAGCTTGTCCCAACTTGTTCATGAAGGAATAGTACTGTTAGATCCTCGAGAGATCAGAAAAGCTACACTAGTGGAAAAAATGCTTGTCTCTTGTGTAGATTATTTAATAACTCCAATATTTTTCCAGACGAACTCTATGAATCCTTTAATGTGATCCGACCAAAGATGGTATTCTGTCAAAGCGAGAAAGCACCCGATGTTCAACTGGCTGTAAAGCAGTTGGACCAAACTATCGAAATAATTACATTTGATAAAGGAGATTATTTCTGCAATTTCTCCGAGTTTTTGGAGAAAAATGGCGATGATACGACTATTGAAGATTTCAGGCAAGTATAAATAAAGATTGATTTCCAAGACTTGTTTGAAGTTAAAAACAATTACGAATTGTAAATTACAATAAATAATGCAACTATTTGCAGAGCAACGGATTTTGATCCTGACGAAACAATTTCATTCCTTATGTCAACAAGCGGCACCACTGGAGCGTCCAAATCAGCTATAGCCAGCCACATGAACTTAGCTATATCCAGCCCTAACTTATGGTATGTTACAATACTAACATTCAGTTTTGAGTTTCGTTTTTTTAGGTAGTAAATTTTCTACTTTCTACCATTTGTCTGTTGTATGTAATATATGCCATGAAAATAATACGGTTCGAAACCGGGCTCGCGACTTTGAGTTTCTCTGAATTTATGTGAGAAATTTAATTTGAAGTTCATCATCATCATCACGATGTTTTCCTTCACCGATTATCTGTATGTCGAAGAAGATTCACAACCTCGAAAAACGTGTGAAGTCCCCAACCCGCATTTCTTTTTACGAAACGGAAATGGTTTATGCATACCCTTGTGCCCGCGGAGGCTCAGAGGTTATGTGGGACTAACCCCCCCAGTTGAGGGAAAACCCAAAATACCCCCCGGCTTGAAAGTGTAAGTCCGGATTCAAACCCATAACTCTGCTTGAGAAATGGTAAGTCAAACCATTGCTATAAGTGTCCTTCAGCAATCTTTGTCTGTGGAAGAATCAATATTATCCAATTTCTTTAAATCTGAAAATATCAAAGCTTCCTTTTCTTCTGTTTTTGTTCACACTGGCTATTTTTTGGCCTGCACGGCATTTTAACGACATAATATGCCAAACTCGACGTCTCCTACCCACAACATTTTATATGACATATAGGTAAATTCGAAACGCGCAGGTGAATAAATATTACAAAGTAAATAATGTATCAACGTACTAAATAACCGGACATTTCAAAGTTATATTACAAAATTACAGTAATTTAAAAGTAATTCTGTCTGACATAATATATTATGAAAGAAATGATACTCAAAGATTTAGAACGGTTTGCAAAAAATTGTTTAGACAAGTCACTTTGTTGAAGTCTCATTTATAACAGTCTACCAAAAAAAGGACTTCCACTGTACGAAATCTAATTCAAATTATATTAAGAAAACAAAACTTTTTTTTAATAATGCAGAGATTCACACATGAGTTTCGTTTCAACTTAACACATTTGACATCACGACTTTGAAAGCAGAGACGATTTTTGCGCGCAATTCTACGACACTCGTAATCTCCTCCGCGTAAAATAAACGTTTCACGTCATGCCATAAAAATAGTCGCACTTACACTTGATGGTAATGCAGGTTCTGGTGAACATGGTAGCGGTTCTTTTTTGTACTAACTCTTGTTTAGATACCAAACCACGTGGCATTTCGTGAGAAACTAGCTATAGTCGTGCCAAGATAGGATCCTCTTTTTGACAGATAGTTTTAGACTCGTAACACATCCCCATAATACTAGTATGGTACTAGTTACTAAAATACTATAGTAATTTAGTAGCATTCATACCAACCTGAGATAAAGTCAGGCTAAAGTCAAGTGGAAAATTTTAAAAACAGGCTTATAAATACAAAAAAACATATTCTAAAGGTATGTCAGTGTTGGGCGTCAATCAATTAAATTTCAATCAGAAATTCAATCAGATTAAAAAATCAATTCAATTGAAATCAATTGCAACGGCCCACCCCAACCCTAATCCACCTTCTAACTCACCCCTAACTCTCCCCCTAACCCACCACCTATCCCACCCCCATATGCCCTATAAATTTATCATAATTGTCAGTTTTAATTGTTAATTGTTAATCAAAAACATTGAAAATTCAATAATTGTTAATTGTAGATATATGCGATTAACAATTAATTAATTGTTAATTGCTGTTTCGCAATTGACAATTCATTAACTGTCACTCTTTAATTGCCAGAACAATTAAATTTTGCCCAACACTGGCGTATGTACACAACCAAAGTCATCATTTGTATCCTTTTCACACGAGCTAGAGCTCAAATTCACTTAAATTTATAATTATTTGTGTTTTCAATAGATTATCAAAATGTACATCTCTCAACTGGTTGAGAGACTCAGACTGGTCTGAATTAATTTCATTTCTTATTTTCTCTACAACGTGTGATTACTTTAAAAATTTGTTCTTATTTTTTTCGGCGAAATTAACATTTAGTTGTAAATATCACAAGTATGTAATCTTATGAGCGGTGTCCACAATCATTGATTTGATATTATGTATTCATAAAAATTGTCATTAATGGCAACACTTAGCAATTTAATTTCTGGGGATATTTCTACCATATTACATAATTTCTGTTTATCATATAATAGTATGTACTATACTATTGAAAAAAAAACAGAACATAACCGTTTACGTGACGTATCTTATATAGTATAAACTATCACACTTTTGAAGCAGATACCTATTATAATATGTGTTAGTGTAGTCAAATACTAAATATTTAACCGAAATAAATAAGTTCTTAGTGACTCCACTGTGAACAGTGGAGTTAAATATTATAATTTTTCTTTTCCTATTTGGGCAATTATTATTAAGTTCTATGGCCGTTCACAGCATTCAAAAAGAAAATGCTATCTTGGATCGACTATACTTGATTTCTCTAATCACGTGATAGTACTACCCTGTTGCTTGCTGGACATCACTAGGTTTAAGGAAAAAAAACTCATAGAACGTAACCGTTGGCATATCATAAATACAAACTATCACAAGTTTAAAGCAGATATAAAATGAAAAATTATGTGTTATTAAGGTTAAATACTATTTATTTAACCGAAAGTGTTCACAAAAAATATAAATTATATATCGAGTTGTTAGGTTTTCGCGATTGTTACACATAGGAAATGAAACTATTTTTCCGGATTTAATATTAGTTATTTTCAGATTCAATATTAGACATAACTGGTTGAAGACTGTACCACCTCATTAACCGTGACCATGGGACCTGTAAAGAGCCCGAAACGTCGGTTTGTTTGAAAAAACAAATATACGCGATTTAAATCCGGAAAAATAGTTTCATTTCCTATAAATTATATAATTAGGTAATCATTTCCTATTTGGACAATTATTATAAAGTTACGTTCTGTCGCTGTTCATATATGTCAAAAAGGGGATGCTATGTTGGCTCGATTATAATAGTTCACTAGAATTGCGGCGAGTTCTGCAATTATCCCACCTCGTCGCACTCGAGCGCACTAGAGGCAGGCGCGTGCGCTGCCTTTGCAAATCAACACTTGTATATCTAGCATTCGTACGAACAAGATATATTGACGAACTCCATAGTATTATTATCATACCAAAATGTTATTAGCTTAATTTTGTACGGACAACGACACATCAGACTACACATTTTTGTTCGAAAATCGCCTCCAGTGCAACGGAACAAGATACGTCAGTGTGTAACTTGATGTGCTGGCGTGTGTACATAGAAAACAAACTGGGACTGGTGACACGTAACATATTAAAGTGATTGATTGGAATTGGTTTCACAGTCAGCATACGTATCATTATTGATACAAAGA